TAGAGTAATTGATTATTAATTATATGCATACAAATGAGGGCCCTTCTTCATTTACTTTATGTCGTTACCAATTGCATTTTAAGTTCATGGAGCTGTAATTACTTTTAGCAGTTGTTTGGTAGTCCATATATGCCCATGATGTCATCATATCTGCTCATTGTTGCTTGTTAAATAATTTATTGTGGGGATATATCTATTAATTATTTAGTAATATAAAAAAATCCTTAAAAAACCCATGAAAGCAATATTTCCTCATATAGCATAAAAATTTTTGTCCTGTCAGTAATCTCACATCAAATAGAACTAGCTATTGATGCAAAATCAAATGTTACGTCTATACGTCGCTATTTATGCTATTCACAACATGCAATCCACTGAAGAAAATGTGTTTTAATAACAGAGTTTACGGTCATAAAGTTTCAATTAATCGATCGATGTAACTAAATGAAAGTGTCATTATCCAGATTATAAATAAATATAAATACATATATATGGTATCATAGTTTTGTGTATATTAATAGAAGTTATGTGATGTCAACAGCTCAAATAATATTATTCTTGGCATATTAATTAAGATATAAAGCTCTAATACAACTATATAAGACCACCATCATGACAAATATGGTTGTGCGAAAAAAAAAATTAATTAAATAAATTAAAGGTAAACACTTCTGCATAAAATATTTATACATAATNATATTATACATAATTGAAAAAACAAATAAATTCAGAATGAATTTTAATTAAGCTAAAAACATAAGGGCGAGTTTCAAAATTAAGGCTGATCTATAAATGTTAGTTAGGTACTTTATATAATTTCCACTTAATTATGTGCATTATGTATTTGTGGATAATCTAATTTGTGAGTTTGCATTTCCCCCCCTCTTTTTTAAGATAAAAAGAAAATGATGTGGACCCAATTTTAATTAGAGTGCCTAATTGTTATTATTATCCTTCCCCATCGAAGGGCCTCTGAAAAATCATGTGATTTAACTAACAAGTTGAAGTGATGAATCATCAACCATATATACTTGCCATCAGCATTTGCAAATCAAGTCAATCCAAATAAAATACGGAGGTTTGTGCAAGAGTAACATTAATTAGCGAGTTCAGTATTTTGTCTGTATAGAATAATTATAAGGTGTTTATATATAAAAATTGCTAGACTGAATTAGTTTTTCACCTAATCTCACTTGCTGATGATTTGATAGTGTGTGCCTGCCAACTTATGATTATTAGCATTTATAGACATGATATAAGGTTTTTAGATAAAGCTTTAGTTC